ACTCGGGTTCGAATCCCCGCGCCGCCATTCAATATTGTCGCGCCATTTTTCTTTTGCCTTCGCGTTTGTTTTTACGAGAAACACTCTCATGTGCGCGATTTATGGAGCTACTGTTCGGTTACACTCGGGGTAAATTTTTTTCCAGAATTTTTGCTTTTGTGAGGGGTTAGAATTGGCCGTTTAATGTTTTTCCCAGTGTCGTTGCGCAAGTGTGCCAGTGATGGGGCTTACCAGACCTCAAACACGGCGGGCTGTTTGGACGGTTCAGGGGGCATCTTCGCCTCGTATCTGTCCACTCCTTTCGGCCGGAGTCGGAGTGAAGGGAGGGCACCGCGAGGGCGGGGCGGGGCGGGGCGGGGCGGCCCTCGGGGCCGTGGGAGCGGCCGGAGCAAACACACGCGCGTGCGACACGTGTCCGCCGCAGACGAGACCCTTTTCCGCGCGAGGGACTTCCTGGCTCTGTGCATACACTGCGTACACTGCGTACACTGCACGCGCCACCTCTGGCTGTCGATTCCGCACGGCGCCTCGTCGGCGGGGCGGGGAGGAGTTACCTCCGTGCTCTCGGAACATTCGCGCCATTCGCGGGTTACTATGTAACGGGTTGTCTGTGGACACTGCTGGAATTGGGTTCCTCGTCCAGTGGCAACTCGGCGCCGGGGGCCTTTTCTGGATGCACGCGTGCGTCGTCAAGGGGCACCCAACTCAAGATAATCATTGCACGTCTAGTTGGTGATCAGTGAAATAATCAACATCATCCAATGAAATGACAATCATACTTTCGGGGATTCAATCACTTTTGACCATTTTTGCGAGACCACTGCTCCCAAACTATCAGCGGTCAAAGCCTTCCCGAGGCGGGGCATAAAAGAGTAGGGTCTTCAGAATAGTAAGGCGTCGAGGGAGGCCTTTGACCGCAACTAAATTGGATGCAGTAACCGCGCAAAGTCAGCAAAAACGGTGATTTTCTGAAATTCATTCACTTTTTGACCATTTTTGCGAGACCACTGCTCCCAAACTATCTGCGGTCAAAGCCTTCCCGAGGCGGGGCATAAAAGAGTAGGGTCTTCAGAATAGTAAGGCGTCGAGGGAGGCCTTTGACCGCAACTAAATTGGATGCAGTAACCGCTCAAAGTCAGCAAAAACGGTGATTTTCTGAAATTCATTCACTGTTTGACCATTTTTGCGAGACCACTGCTCCCAAACTATCTGCGGTCAAAGCCTTCCCGAGGCGGGCCTTAAAATAGTAGGGTCTTCAGAATAGTAAGGCGTCGAGGGAGGCCTTTGACCGCAACTAAATTGGATGCAGTAACCGCTCAAAGTCAGCAAAAACGGCGATTTTCTGAAATTCATTCACTTTTTGACCATTTTTGCGAGACCACTGCTCCCAAACTATCAGCGGTCAAAGCCTTCCCGAGGCGGGGCATGAAAGAGTAGGGTCTTCAGAATAGTAAGGCGTCGAGGGAGGCCTTTGACCGCAACTAAATTGGATGCAGTAACCGCGCAAAGTCAGCAAAACGGTGATTTTCTGAAATTCATTCATTTTTGACCATTTTTGCGAGACCACTGCTCCCAAACTATCTGCGGTCAAAGCCTTCCCGAGGCGGCCTTAAAAGAGTAGGGTCTTCAGAATAGTAAGGCGTCGAGGGAGGCCTTGACCGCAACTAAATTGGATGCAGTAACCGCGCAAAGTCAGCAAAAACGGTGATTTCTGAAATTCATTCACTGTTTGACCATTTTTGCGAGACCACTGCTCCCAAACTATCTGCGGTCAAAGCCTTCCCGAGGCGGGGCTAAAAGTAGGGTCTTCAGAATAGTAAGGCGTCGAGGGAGGCCTTTGACCGCAACTAAATTGGATGCAGTAACCGCTCAAAGTCAGCAAAAACGGTGATTTTCTGAAATTCATTCACTTTTGACCATTTTTGCGAGACCACTGCTCCCAAACTATCGCGGTCAAAGCCTTCCCGAGGCGGGCCTAAAAGAGTAGGGTCTTCAGAATAGTAAGGCGTCGAGGGAGGCCTTTGACCGCAACTAAATTGGATGCAGTAACCGCTCAAAGTCAGCAAAACGGTGATTTTCTGAAATTCATTCACTTTTTGACCATTTTTGCGAGACCACTGCTCCCAAACTATCAGCGGTCAAAGCCTTCCCGAGGCGGGCCATAAAAGAGTAGGGTCTTCAGAATAGTAAGGCGTCGAGGGAGGCCTTTGACCGCAACTAAATTGGATGCAGTAACCGCTCAAAGTCAGCAAAAACGGTGATTTTCTGAAATTCATTCACTTTTTGACCATTTTTGCGAGACCACTGCTCCCAAACTATCTGCGGTCAAAGCCTTCCCGAGGCGGGGCATAAAAGAGTAGGGTCTTCAGAATAGTAAGGCGTCGAGGGAGGCCTTTGACCGCAACTAAATTGGATGCAGTAACCGCTCAAAGTCAGCAAAAACGGTGATTTTCTGAAATTCATTCACTTTTTGACCATTTTTGCGAGACCACTGCTCCCAAACTATCAGCGGTCAAAGCCTTCCCGAGGCGGGGCATGAAAGAGTAGGGTCTTCAGAATAGTAAGGCGTCGAGGGAGGCCTTTGACCGCAACTAAATTGGATGCAGTAACCGCTCAAAGTCAGCAAAAACGGTGATTTTCTGAAATTCATTCATTTTTTGACCATTTTTGCGAGACCACTGCTCCCAAACTATCAGCGGTCAAAGCCTTCCCGAGGCGGGGCATAAAAGAGTAGGGTCTTCAGAATAGTAAGGCGTCGAGGGAGGCCTTTGACCGCAACTAAATTGGATGCAGTGACCGCTCAAAGTCAGCAAAAACGGTGATTTTCTGAAATTCATTCACTTTTTGACCATTTTTGCGAGACCACTGCTCCCAAACTATCAGCGGTCAAAGCCTTCCCGAGGCGGGGCATGAAAGAGTAGGGTCTTCAGAATAGTAAGGCGTCGAGGAAAGGCCTATGACCGCAACTAAATTTGACGCAGTGGCTGCCCAAAGTCACCAGTATTGAATTTCCGACACTTTAACAGCTTTCCGAGTCCGAGGTCGGCGCTCAAATAATCCCCAATATTTCTCAATAAGCAACATAATAACCTGCTATAATCAATGATAAATAATAAAATAATCAAAAGCAATCACATGTAATCATACTCTAAATATAATCAGTGTAAATGAAAATCTTGAGTTGGTTACCCCTTGTGCGGCGCGCCGCGACGTGCCGCCAAGGCCGCGCGACGCACGCGCGTGTCGTCTCGACGCGGCGCTTCCGCGGCCGGGGGCGTGTCGACTAGTCGGCGTGTCGCGCGCCGCGTGCCGGCAGCGATGGCGCGGCGATGGCGCTGCTGGACAAGGCGGACAACACCTGCATCATCGACTAGCCGGCTCGGCTCGCCAAGGCTGCCGGCCCTGCCCGGCCCTGCCCGGCCCTGCCCAGGATGCGCGGGCTGAATGCGTCTGCGCGATCACTGCAAAATGTCTGCTCCGTAAACTGAGGCTCTGTGGTCCTTTCCCTATCTCGGAGCGCAGCGCCGCCATCTAGGCGAAGACTTTATAAACGCGTTTGTGTGCGAATGTGTGTGTGGGCATGCCGCGCCGGCAGGAAGGCCACCACCACGGTGCGGTTCCACCAGGCTGCTTCCGAGCGATGTGGATGGAACCCGTCGCTCTGTCCCTCTCGCACCCATGGGACGCCCCGCTCGGAATGAGCCTTGCGCGCGGCCCGCGTCGCCTTGCGAGTGAAAGCGGCGTCGCGCGGCACCGGCCCCGCGGAGCGCCGCGGAGGCAGGCAGCCCGTCCAGCCCGCAGTCCGCGGCCGCCAACTTTGGCGCCAAGTTCGAAAGGCAGCCCTGTGATTGGCCGCTTCGCTTACGGCCGCTCCCTGCTGGACGGGGTGATAACGGCCTGAGGCCTGAGTCACTGGGCGCTGCGCGGCGCTGCGGTCATGGCACCGTGGTACGCCCTGGGCGGTTTCCTTGTTTCCTCACCGAGGGCGCTGTGCCGTGGGCAGGCCGAGGCAGGCACGGCGCGCTCGGTGCGCTTCGCAAGGTGTATATATAGAAGGCCGACCGCCGTTCGCCGTACCGCCACTCCACCCACCCCGAGGTGCTCGCCGGCTAGCCTCCCGACGACCCTAACCTTTCCTCTCTCCGAGTCGCGCCTCCTCGCCGTGGTCGCGGGGACGGGACAGAACCACCGACCGACTCCTCGCGTGCGGCGGTGTGGCCGCGCCGGGCGGAGCGTCGCCAGTCCAACAGCCCAGCCCATGGCGACTCGGCGACGCGGCGACGCGGCGACCGCACACCGCAGCCCGACGCCTCGCCTCGCCGCGGCGAAGGGAGGGGAGCGGCAAGCGGCAGGCCGGCAGGCACTCGGCGCACGCAGTCAGCTGATTTAGAAATGGCGGGAAAGCAGCGGCGCTCTAGAGCAGCCAGCAGCGCCAGCAGTCCGACCGAGCGACACCGTCTGTCCTTGTCGCACGCACTGCCGGGGCGGCGCTGGCTGCGCGGCTACGCCCCTGGCCGTGTACACTGTACCACTGTACACTGCGCTGACCGCCGCGAGTCGCTCCGCAGTGCTCCGTTCCGCGGCCGCGGCCGGTCGGGATTATCGCAGCGGAAATACACGAGGTTCCGTTCCTCTCCAGCCGGCCCGGCTCGACTCTAGGCTCGCCTCCAGACTAGAGGAACATAGACGAGTGCACCAGTTCTCGATTGGGGTTTTCGATTTTGGAAGGGTCGTGCGTGTCCCGGGCTCCGGCACGCGGCCTGCGTGTGCGGTGTGCGGTCCGCCCGGGCGGCAGTGCAGGCAGTGCAGGCAGAGCGAACTATCTGCGAGTGGTGGGGGTTGAATATTTGCGCGGCGGGTCGTGTCACGCCCCTGTCCACTCCACTGGCCAGCGCGCTGCGCGCCCCGCGCCCCGGAACCACGGCCAGTCCCTCCCTCGCCTCATCGCCGGCCAGCAGCGCCAGCAGCAGCGACGTCAACACCCGCTTCTCCTCCTGCAGCGTCGACAGAGAGTCAGCGGGTCCAGCGTGGCGGCGAACAGTGACCGATGACGCGAAGGTGTAGAAGGACCGCGCGGTGGTGAAGTCCCCCCTAGCGGCCTAGTCCCCCCGAGGGCCCCGAGGGCCCCGACGACGACACCATGTCGGCCACCAAGCCCCTCACCACCTCCCGCAGCCAGCCCATCATGCCTCGCTTCCGGAAAGTCAGCCGGGTGAGTAAGCGCAGCCAGTCAGGCAGCAGACTCAATCCGAGAGTCGTTTTCGCCGCTCTGTCTCTCTAGCACTCATAGGTGCGAGAGACAGCGAGGGAAACGACTCTCGGAATCAGGTTGCAGCCAACGCAGCGCGGCCGACAAGAGATCGCAAGTTTCGACGGTCGCATCGACCCTCTCGGCCAGGGTGCCGCATCTCGCAAAACGGAGTCAGGACCTAAAGACGGAGACGAAGTTGCGCCAACTCCGAAGACGGGCGGCCGGAGAGAGGCGCCGTTTCCACGCCGCGCCACTGGTGAGGCATTATCGGCGCCGTGCAAACGCGCAAATGGCCCAAATTGGGGCGGAGCGCGAAGCGGGCCGCAAGGCAAGGGTAACGTCCGATACCGCCCGGCAAGCCCGGCAAGCCCACGACGATAGCAGCGACGTGCCGGCGGAAGCGGCCTTGGCAGTGTACTTCGCATTCCAGCCACAGGGTTAAGGGGGCGTCCGTCAAGCACGTCACGCCGGCCGCGCGCTGTCTCTCTCGCACTCGTGGGGCGTCGCGCACGGGAGCGAGAGAGACGGAGCGAGCGGCCGTCTGGCGGCGCCCACGCCTCGCCTCCCTCGAGTCCGAGTCCAGGCCCCGGGCAGCCCCCGGCCGGAGCGACCCCCGCCCCCTGGCGTGTGACGTGAGTCCCAGGCGGAGGTCCCAGTTGGTAAACATCATCAGTGCCTGAGAGACGCCGCGCCGACGCCGCCTGCACTGGCGGTTACCGCTTGGCTGGACAGCCGTGAGGTACTGGACCGCAAAGGGGGCCGCGAACCGCCCCTGCAGCCCCTGCAGCCTTTGGTGTTCGACCCGCTCTGCTCTCCTCCAACTTCCTCGAGCCCCCGTACCCCGTCAATCTCCACGGCTTTCGACGCCGCGATGGCGCGCCCGGCGCGCTTGGCCGCGCAACTTTTTTAATACGCTTGGCCTTTAAGTTTGTTTTGCCTTGGCCTTGGCGGGGCCTTGGCTGCGCTGCCGCGGCGGGCACACTCCACTGTAGGGCACTCTCCGGGTCCGATTCCGCCTTTGCTTCCAGTTCGGCGCGCAAAGCCCTCCAATTACCCCGGCGACTCTCTGGCCTTTGGTTGTGTCCTGGCTGTCCTGGCTGACGGCGGCGCCCTGCTTCGTGTTGCAGACGGAGAGCGAGTGCTCGTGCGGCGAGGAGAACACCCGGCTGACGAGGGACGGCCGGGACTTCGCCGACGGCGACCCCACCTCCCCCGGCGAGGACGACCTGTCGCTATGCGACTACCACGACCTCCCGCCGCCGCCCGACGGCGGCTACGGCTGGGTCGTCGTGTTCGCCTCCTTCATGTGCAACATGATCGTGGACGGCATCGCCTACACGTTCGGCATCTTCCTGCAGAAGTTCGCCGACCACTTCCACGAGAGCCCCGGCACGGTGTCGTGGGTCGGCTCCTTGCTGTCGGGGGTCTACCTCAGCGCGGGTAAGTTTTCGTCCGTTTCAGCGAGGGGCGAAAGTCTGGCGGTGTATTGAACGATCCCTTGTTGCAGGACCAATCGTGAGCGCGCTCACCAACAAATACGGGTGCCGCGCGGTGTGCATAGCGGGCAGCATCATCGGCTGCGCCGCCTTCGTCCTCAGTACCTTCTCCCCGAACATTAAAGTCCTCATGCTCACGTACGGCGTCATGGGAGGTAAGTCACGTTCTTCTTGCCGTCGTCACGGGAGGTCCGCACAGTGAGCCAGAAGCCTGTGGAGGCGGCCAAAACTCTGGACTTGTTTTGAGCTCCAGAGTCGCAAAGCAGGACTCGAACCGAATGTGTGATCCCACCAATGGATTGCTCTCCGAACGAGGAATCCATTGGTGGGGTCACACGTTCGTTTCGAGGCCTTTTTAGCGACTCTGGAGCTCGAAACGCGTCTAGAGTTTTGGCCGCCTCCACCGGCTTCTGGCCCACTGTGGTCCGTCCGGTTCAAGACCAAGACCCCCTCGCTCTCCTTGTCCAGGACTCGGTTTCGGCCTCATCTACCTGCCCGCCGTGGTGTGCGTCGGCTACTACTTCGAGACGAAGCGGTCGCTGGCCACGGGCATCGCGGTCTGCGGCTCTGGCGTCGGCACCTTCGCCTTCGCGCCGCTCGCCGACAAGCTCCTGGACATGTACGGCTGGCAGGGCGCCAACCTCATCCTCGCGGGGCTCATCCTCAAGTGCGCGGTGAGTCCGTGTGTACACTGTGTAGACTGTGCACTGGCAGCGCGCGGCAACAGCGTCCAGCGTCAGTGCCTCGAGCGCCACGCCTGGCCGCGCCGCCGCGCCTTGCTCGGCCGGGTAGGCAGCCCGCAGTCCATGGGGGCGTTCAGGTGGACGTCTTGCCTGCCTGCCGGGGGGTCGCCCTCGCCGAGCCGAGCCGAGCCGAGCGGCACCACTGTGAAAGTGAAGACGAGGCCGTGGATACCCCCGGCCCGAGGGGCTCTCGGGCCCGGAGTACCTCCAGCAGGCCGTCGTGGCTGACCCTCCCCGTTCTGTGTTCCGCCCCAGGTGTTCGGCGCGCTGATGCGGCCCCTGGAGTTCCCCAAGGGCCCCGGCGTGAAGCCGCTGCTGCAGCGAATGGCCGAGGAGAAGCGCTTCCAGATGGAGCGCGGCTCCATCGGCGGCTCCTACTTCGTGGTGCAGCTGCCCGACGGCTCCATGGAGAAGCGCCTCAAGATGCCCATCAACATCGACCCCGGCGTGCACTCGTCCTTCAACCTGGACCAGCTGGTGCCCGGCACCCCGGTCAACCCGCTGCCCACCGTGCCCACCCTGCCCACCATCACCGAGGCTAAGGTACGGGCGCCACCGGCGGCACGACCACAACCACAGACACCGCACCAGGGCCAGACCACGGGGTGCGGGCTACCGGGGCAGAAAAGGCCAAGACAAAAGTTTCTAAAACAATTCTGGCACTGAGGCACCCAAAAAACACACAACACTTGGCACGAAACTAGCAAAGAAGCGCGCTGCTAGATTTTTTTGTGGGAAGGAATCACTCCGTATTGATGGGCCTAATAGCGATCATCCCACCCACCCATCGGGCCATCAGGCGTGCGTCTAAATTTGTCTGGCTCGTACTGTACGCGCCGCGCTGTGCCGTGCCGTGCCCTGCCACCGCTTGGCAGGCGTGTCAGTCACTGCCTCACGGCACCCGTGCCCCCGCTACCTGCGCCTGTTGACGAAATGATAGCCCGCCTGAATTTCGCAAGCGGCCTCGACTTTGCAGTAAATGTAGCTGATGTGCTAACACTGATAGAAATAAATTACACACTCACACACACAGACACAATCCTCGGCCGCGCCACTGTATTAGTGCAGTGGCCAATTTCTCCTCACAATTCCCCGCCACGCCCTCTGGGCGAGTAAGTCATACACTTGTTGGCGGTCTGCATAACAGCGTTGGAAGTAAGTGCCTAGTGTTGTTGAGCTCCCACTGTAAGTGTGTGTTTCCGGTTTGCGACTCACAGCCTGAGGTTTTCACTAACACTAGCTTGACGTACTCCCACATACCTACACTAATAATTCCAACTCTAAACGTTTGATTTTTTCTTAAAAAAAATGTATTGGTGTTTTTTAGCGCATAAAATTTTTCATTTTTTTTAAACAAGCCAGCTTTTTTGGTGCTTGGATTTTTAAAGTTGATAGAATCTTATAACGATGAGGGAGAGAGAACGACCTCACCCTGAATATTTTATGCGCCAGGAAACCCCTAGGTCATCTTGTTTCGTCTCGATGGGACTGCTAACACTTTTTCGGCTCTTTGTGCTTGCTTCATATCCGAAAGCCTTTGGGAAAACCGCTAATAGAAAGTAGACTAGCCAGATAAATTTGTCGAATCTGTTGTATTTTGAAGTAACGCCAAAATTTCTAGAGTCCCAGAGGTAGCGTTTTCTTATTCCTTGGAAAACTCTTTTGTACAGACCATTGAGATGACTCTAAAACGCCGTCCACACGACGACGTAGGGACACCGTGTAAATTGTCTTATTTCAAAATGTGTGCTTGTACATTCCCCTCCCTTCTCCAGTTGGCTTCCTTGAAAATTCCGTTCCCGCTTTCGTCCAAATCCCTACCGCCCTCCGGCCCGCCAAACCGTGTTCAAAGAACCATCCTCTCGCCACAAGTCCTTCGCCCTTCTTCCTCCAGAATGTCGCTTTTTAATCACTTGACCGTCGCACGCTGGTTTCGCACAGCAAGCCTAGATTTTTTTAAAAAATAATTAATTTTAAAAAAATAATTAAATTTCCAATTTTTTTGAACTCACTAATTGTTGACCCTACTGCAGTACTTATGTGTGCCTTTCGCACGTAGCTCCCTGTCGAGTCCTTGCAGTGTCCTTGCTGTGCGGCAAGCTAGTGCCCGGTTCGGCGGTTCCGCGGACTCCAGCCCCAGTGTTTGTAGGTCCAGGAAGCCAAAGACGGAGCCAATGAAATGCGGCCGCCCGACGTCCCCCGAGGCAGGAAGAAGAGTCGTGTCGAGGACCTCAAGGAGGAAGACGAAATGCTGCGGAGGGACCTGATCAAGGTACTGCCCTTCCAGGCCTTCCAGGCCGATGCCCCGGGCCAGGCCGCCCAGGCCGCCACGGCGCGGCCCCAGGCCCGCCCTAGGCCCTCCCCAGTCCAATCTGTCTGTCTCTGTCTCCGGGACCACAAGTCAGCCGCCGTAACTTCTTTTGCAAAAGAAAGGCACTGCCTTTGCCGCCATCTTTGGCCTAAAGACACGAATCCCGGCGCAGTTGTCACTGCCACCCCGGGGAAAATCAACTTCGGGCGGTATTTTTGGTCTCTGTGTGAATTCGACCCGTAGCGTAGCCCAGAGTAGTGAAGCACCGGTAGAGTAGTGCGTGGTAGAGCTTCGCATGCTTATTTTGGCACAAATGAACTATAATGAACCGTACTAGTGGCCGGCGCATGTTCCGGTTTCCTTGCCTGCCTCTTGTTCGGCGTCCACCGATCTGTAAGTAGCCACAGCCTCGGCCACAGCCCGGAGCCATGCCGGAGCCTCAAACTTTAGGGGAGCGTAAGTTGGAGTTTGCAGCGTGCCCCGCCTCGTCGGGATTCTCTCGGGAAGATGCTGTTGCATGGCGTAACTCTTGCCGACCTGGAGTCTCCAGCTCGAGGCGACACTGTTAAGCAGTGCGAGATTTGGAACTCGAAATAGTTTTCGCGAAACGTTTTTTTTCCTACCTTTTTTTCGAGTGTTAGAAAACCGAAAGTCAAAAGCACGCGGTCAGCGGCGAAAAGACGGAAAGGGTCTGATGACTTTCCTTGATTGCTTCCAGCAGGAGCGAGAGCATGACAGAAGAGTGTCGACCCCCGAGGCGCCCAACCCAGCCGGCCTGCAGCAGTCCGAGACGGCCGTGCCGCCCAGGGGCATCATCCCCAGGAACGCGTCGCAGCCCGCCTTCTCCACGCACGTACAGGTACGGCTCTCAGGTTAGGTTAGGTTAGGGTTGTCACGTATTTCTTCGTCTTGACATTGTCGACCAAAATTTTCACAGTGTCACCAAGAGTGTAACCTAACTTGAACCCGCTCGACGAACCATGTCCTCCCTTTTCAGAAAGTGTTTGCTGAATGTGTGCGCAGGGGCTGCCCAAGAACGGGTCGGTGCCGTTCTTCGACCGGATCCGGAAGACGTCGACGGGCGAGCGGTTCAGGCCCACGCTGGCCGCCATCAACAACTCCCGGCCGAACATGACCTCGAACGGTGATGTACGCAAGTCGCTCCACCTCCGCCTGTCCAAGTCCTCGCTTGCGGGTCGCGCTAACAACAATGCGGAGGACATGTGGTCCAAGACTGATGTGAGTGAGTGCGCGCCTGGCGCGCCTGCCACGCCGGACGACTGCCGACCAATGGGGCTGCTGCTAATATCCCGACACAACGACATTTATCCATCTAGTCACCATTTTTGGTTTTTATATTTTATTTTTTATTTTGATTGATTTTTTTAAAATTTGACTTTTGTTGCACCTGCGTTTGTTTTTGTTTACCTGCCATGGTCTGCAAGGGACGGTGGTAGGTGCACTAAAACTGTGGGTAAATTCGAATCGTTAGACGATGTGTCTTATTTTATTTTGAACTGAAAAAGGCGAATCTCCTGGCCAGTGGCACTCACTCTGTCCGTCTATTTGTCTGTGGTTCTATCTGTCAGTCTGTTCGTCTCTTCATCTGTCCGTCCATCTGTCTGTGGTTTTCTCTTGCAGCGTAATGACAGCTTCGATTTTTATTTTTTCATGAATTCTAAAATAAACGCGCGAACGCATAAGGCAGTTTTCTGTATACTAACACAACTTAACTCGCTAAATGCTTATGTACTGTTTGTTTGTGTATATATTTTGAAAATTAATTTTGGTCTGAAGAGTTTGAAACTTTGAAATAATTTCGCATAAAAAAAATCATACAGAAGCATTTAGCGCCTAGAGCAGAACATTAGGAGCACAGCTCGCGCCAGCCGCACTTTTGACAACTTTAAAAGTTGAGCTCTGTGTGCCTGGCGGCGGGCTGTGACTCCGCATCACAGCGGTCACCACAGAGATGTCCCGGGAGCCTTCTTTGGGGTCGAGTAGTGGATGCTTAGTGGTGTTGTCCTGTCCATTCGCATGTCAAATTGGGGGAATATCCGTTCCACAGCAGCAAAGCGCACTGCACGAAAAAAAAACGCAACAGGAATTTCTTTTTTCCGTCAGTCAATGCCAGAAAGTTTGCATTTGTGAGCCACATCACAATGAAACGTGTCTCACTTGCGCTCTAATTAATGGCTGACGGATAAAGTTCCTCTTTGTTGCAATTTTTGTCTCGAGTCTTGCTTGCTAACTCTATTGCTGAGACTCTCAAATTTCAAACCAGCCCCCCATGGAAAAACAGACGAGCTGACAACTCGGCGTTACACACCAGAATTCTGCCTCCCCGAGCCGTTTCCGGGGATTTTTCGGCGTCCTCAAATTTTCGTGGGGAATGTGACGTTGGAATAAGTCTGTCTGCGTCTGCGCATGCGCACGTGGGGGAATCTGAAAAGGAAAACAAACGGCGGAATGTTTCGTAAATTTGGCGCGAGTTTGTTCTGCCGGGCTGCTTGATTCGCTAACTTTCTTGTGAACGCGACGTCCGTAAATGCGTTCGCCCGGCTCATGGATGCCCCACAGAGGTAAGACCACAAACCTTTTACTTGTAGTCAGTAGACGGTTGGCTTTTGTGTGGCCGACTTTTCGTTTTCTTCTCCAACTTTTAAGCCTCAAGTTGCTTTATGACCACGTCCTTCTTTAGCCAGTTAATTTTCTGTGACGTTTAAAACCGCGTAACATTTTCTTTCTGATGATGGGGCGTGCAAGACCACGCGACTGTTTGCTCCGATTCCCGAAAAGGAGCTTAAATGACCGATCCAGTGCCGAAGACCAGCTTTGCTTCAGAAGAGAGCCTTCGACAGAGCACTTGCCTTTGCCTCCACACTGCATGAAAAGGGCGCATGTTCATTCCATGTTCATTTCAACTTCATCGTTCTTTCTCAGGTTGCGCTGGCATTTTATGTCTTAAAAATACGCTGTTTTCATTTTCATCGAGGCAACAATTTTATGTTTTATGTTTATCTGTGTGTCTTTAGAACCCACTTCTCTAGATTTTAGTAACAAACTTATAGTGCGCCATAGCAGGGGTCCATTACTCAGTGATATTTCGGGTTTCGGGAGTGTATATCTCAAGCACTATGAGAGTTAAAAGCAAACAAACGACCCAATTTTAATATTTCTGTGGTCGTCTTATGTTGACGCTGTTTACTCTCACGATAGTTGATGAGAAATGCACCTCGCAAAGGCCGAAATTTCTTTTGGCTGTGGTTCGCCACCCCTGCGTGTGCGCTTTACGTCTTGCATGCCTCGCGGGCCGAGGACTGACCCGCCCCGCCCAGCCTCACCCCGTCCTCTCTTGCAGCTGTCGGACAGCGTGAGCGTGATGACGGCCTCCCGCATCAGCATGATGCTGGCCCGCGAGCGCAAGGAAATGGTGCGGCCGCTGTCGCGCAAGGACATCTTCTACTCGGGCTCCATCACCAACCTGCGCGAGTACCAGAGCCAGAAGTCCCTGGCCAACTACCGGCAGAGCGTGGTCTCGCTGCCGCGCATGGCCGTGGAGGCCGGGGAGGCGCCACCGCGTAAGTCCGCCTAGCCTGCATGACTCAAACAATCTCCCTGAGACTCGACGGTTCGGTGACGTGATCGTTTTCTGCCCACAGCCGAATGCTGCTCCTGCATCCCCATGTCCGTGAAGCTGGCCCTGGCGCAGCTCCTTGACTTCTCCCTCTTGTCGAACCCCGTCTTCCTGGCCGTGGGCTTCAGCAACTTCTTCGGCTTCGCCGCCCTGTACGTGCCGTTCGTGTACATCGTGCCCGCCGCCTCGGAGTTCAACGCGGACGGGGTAAGGCGCACTGCGGTTGGCTCTGTCCCTGTCGCACTCAGAGACTGAGCTTGACCGGGCCGCTCTGTGTCCGCCAGGTCCGCAAAGTGGAGCCCGCCATGGCGGCCGCGCTGCTCTCCGTCATCGGCATCGTCAACACGGTGGGCCGAGTGGCGTGCGGCTGGGTGGCCGACCAGCCCAAGGTGGACTCGCTGCTCCTCAACAACGTGTGCCTGCTCATGTGCGGCCTGAGCGTCGGCGCCGTGCCCTTCGCCGGCAGCCTGGCCGCCTTCATGGCCATCGCCGTCGTCTTCGCCGTGTCCATCTGTGAGTACCGCCCTCTTTCGAAGCTTCTTCTCGAATTTCCGGAGGCTTGTCTGACGCGTCGCTCTGTCCGCAGCGGGCTACATCTCGCTCACGTCCATCATCCTGGTGGACCTGCTGGGCCTGGACAAGCTGACCAACGCCTTCGGCCTGCTCATCCTGTTCCGCGGCATCGCCGCCACGGTGGGCTCGCCGGTGGCCGGCATGGTGTACGACGCCACCGGCACCTACGACATCCCCTTCTACATGGCGGGCGGCATGTTCCTACTCGCCGCCTTCCTGTCCTTCCTGGTGCCGTGCCTGAAGCGGTGCCAGCCGCCGCCGCCCATCAGCAACGACCAGTACAACGAGGACTACCTGGGCCCCATCCAGGAGGAGGAGGACGAGGAGGGGGGCATCCAGATGAGCGCAATGAGCAAGGATGTGGAGGCTCAGGGCGGCCGCAAGTGAGGGCCCCCGCCCCGCCCCGCCCCGCCACGCGCCGCCACGCCCTCCCCGGGGACGCCAAGCAGACCACCAGGACGGCGGGGAGACTCGCTCGATGAATGGAACACGCAGGACCGCGCTGTGATGCCGATTCTTAAAGCACTGTTTCAAACTCAAAATTGTTTCTTTGATTTATTTTTTTGATTGATTGAAAACATGAGAGGGTCGCGGTAGCGCAGGAAGAGTTGCTTCCTGCGTTTGATATTTTCACGGAGTACAACGGGAGGCTGTGTTCGCTTTTCTTGCCAGTATGCTGTGGGTGTGAATGACTTTGATTTCTGTGTGACTGGGTGTGAGTGCGGTTCAAAGTGAACGATTCGAACAAAAAGGCTTAACACATCACTCTTGTTTGCTCCTGTTCAGTATTCGTCTTCCGTAAATTTTGGTTCAAAGTATTTGTATATATTTGATATATTTGATCATGACTTGCGGGTTTGATTTTTTTTGTTTGTTACCCCCACCACATTTTGAACAATTAATTTAGAAAATGAGAGAGCATAACAGTTAGCCAAAGAGAATGAAGGACTGTAATGTCTCTCTTCAATCTATTTTCCTACGTGCGTATTTTATTTTTAATGAATGTGAAATGCCATTTCCTTGTATTATGTATGTAGCCATAATTATTTTGTGTCATGTAAATAAGTAACAAATAATAAAACAAGCGTTTCCACTGTTTCTACTCTTGGGGACATCCCTCTGCTGCCCTAACTTCCCACTATTTTGTCTTAAGGTTTCGTAGGAAAGGTTGTATACGGGTATTAGCAGCAGCCATTGAGTGTCGACAGTCGGCCAGGCAGTGTCTCTGAGTTAATGTTTGTGTTTTGGGGTGAGGCGGTGGAGTTTCACTGTGTTTATGGCCATGCACAGGTGGACACCGAGACCTGCTACACCGGCAGCAAGCTCAGCATCCCCGGGGGCGCGTTGCGCGCTCGCAGGGAGCTCATCCGACCCATGTCCAGGAAGGACATCTTCTACTCGGGCTCCGTCACCAACCTGCCCGAGTACCAGAGCCAGAAGTCGCTGGCCGGGTACCGCCAGAGCGTCCTCTCCCTGTCCATGTACGGCCAGGGAGGCACTGGGGCCGTGGACGAGAAGCCTCCTCGTGAGTATCGCCTTTTCTTCAGTCAAACTTGAAATTTCGCCCAAACCCAAGTTTTTCAAAAAGCGCAACATGTACAGCTTTCTTACTTGGATTTCCCTTTGTCGTGCACAGCCGACCTCTGCCCGTGCCTCGCCCTGCCCGATTCCATGAAGCACGCCCTGGCCACCATGATGGACGTCTCGCTGCTCAAGGACCCCGTCTTCATGATGATCGCCATCAGCAACGTGTTCGGCATGGCGGGGCTCTACGTACCCTTCGTGTACCTCGTCGAAGTCGCCAAAAAAGCGGTTAGTCATTTCGCAGTGTCTTCGAAAAATGTGTGTTTTGTTGGCCATGGCCCCTTACGACGGCGGGGTAGGCAGTCCCGTCGAGCAGGGCTGCATCCGGGTTGCCTACCCGCCAGGCGCCATGGCCCCTTACGACGGCGGGGTAGGCAGTCCCGTCGAGCAGGGCTGCATCCGGATTGCCTACCCGCCAGGCGCTTTTGGACCGCCGCGAGATCTGAGATGTTGACTTGTTCCTTGCCTGCCTGCAGAACGTCGGCGACAACAACGCGTCCATGCTGCTGTCGTGGATCGGCATCGTCAACACGGTGGGCCGCGTGCTCTGCGGCTACGTGGCCGACTTCCCCCAGGTCAACACGCTGCTCATGAACAACGTGTGCCTCGTCATGGCCACGCTGTCCGTGGCCGCGGTGCCGTTCTGCGAGTCGTACTTCAGCTTCATCCTCGTCGCCATCTTCTTCGGCATCTCCATCTGTGAGTTGGTGAATTCAGTGCTGTGCGTTGTGTGTGTCTGTCCTCGTCTGACGCGTCGCTCTGTCCGCAGCGGGCTACATCTCGCTCACGTCCATCATCCTGGTGGACCTGCTGGGCCTGGACAAGCTGACCAACGCCTTCGGCCTGCTCATCCTGTTCCGCGGCGTGGCGGCCACCGTGGGGTCGCCGCTGGCCGGCATGGTGTACGACGCCACCGGCACCTACGACATCCCCTTCTACATGGCGGCCGGGCTGTTCGCCGTGTCCACCGTCACGTCCTTCTTGGCGGGGCCGCTGAAGCAGTGGACGGCGAGCGAGGAGCTGCCGCCGCAGCTGGACGCGCTCACGCCCATCGACGAGGACGAGGAGGAGGAGGAAGAGGAGGAGCAGGAGGGCATCCAGATCACCATTCCAGAGATCCGCGAGACGGCGCCGTCGCCTCGCACGCCCAACCCGCCCAAGGAGATCAAACAGATCGAGTCCGTGCTGTGAGCTCGAGACAGAGCCACAGAGCCTAGGGGATGATACCTCGGCGCGAAGGCCGCCGCCGCCGCCCCGGGGTCCGGCGCGCTGAGCACTGAGCGCGCAGCAGGCGGAGCAGGCCCCGGGTGCGAAGGGGCGCCCGGCGCGAGGATCAACGCGGTCATACGCTTATTCTTCTCTCGTTTCATTTCTTTTTCGTCTCGGTGAATGTCTGACGTGGAACCGACGCCTGCACTACACCGTGCGCACTACACCGTGCGCACCGCACCGCGAGTAGCCTCGCCGCCTTGCCGCATCGTCGCGCAGCAGCGCGCAGCAGGGGGTCTTGGAGGACAGAGTAAATTCGTGTCGCGATTTTTGTTCGCGGGCGGGCAGCACTACTGGGGATTCCCCAATGGGGAAGCACTAGCCCCCGGGAAGCAGGGCACCGGATCTGCATCATATATTTTGTGACAAATTTCGTGAATATAGTCCTTTTTATTTGTATAGGATGGGCCTCTGATGGCCTCGTGTCCCTGGGGTGTTGCGTAGAGAGATGCAGATGCAGTGCCCTGTCCTCTGGGAGAACGGAAAAAGGAGGAAAGAGCAGGGAGTGTCTCGCAGACTTCCTGCGCAAAGACTTCAGTATTTTCACCAAGAAATGGAGTTCAGTCAGGCTTTAATAGCTATGAAGATTATTTCGAAATCTGGTTCATTGTACTCTATGTTAATTTTTTTGTGGTCAAATGTGTAGTGATACATTCTCTCTGTGTCGTTGTCTAATTTAATTTTCCAAAGATTCGCCAACATTCTGTGTCTATGTTGGCACGGATTCTTGTGAACATTGGGGACAAGTATTCTTTTACGGCTGTGCAGAAGAACTCAACCATCATTGCGGATTGTGTTTAGTGTCAATTTGTGGAATCTGGTGGTGTTTTGCCATAAGTCCATGTATTGTTTTTTTTTAATGTGACAGTGACAAACATTTTGCCTGTTTAGATGCTGAGGTATTATAAATACTGACCATGTTGAAGCCTTTGAGTTTCATTGTTTTTGTCTCTGGAGAACCTTTACCTAGAAACTGCTAAGAGCTTCGGAGGATGTTTGCATAGAAATGAGAGTGAAGCTGTGGTGTGGGTATGTGTCAAAGAATGATGCCAGAGCCGTTTTCCAGTGCATTCCTGGTTGCTGGCAGAGTCATTTTACATGCCAAGATCAACCATGAATCTAGAGTACATTTCATCATTATTTCTCTTGGCACATTTCTTGATTCCCTTTCTTTCATTTTTTTTTTTTTCTTGATATTGTCCTTAATGTCTACATACAGTAGATTGTATTTTTGAGCTGATTTGTGTGTATAAGTATGAAGAGCTGCAAATTAGAAGACTCTATGAAAACTATGCATAACTTAAACAGACTTGTGTAAGTGTACTTCTGTATCGCAACATGCAACCGTAAACACCAATACAAAAAGATTTCCGCATGTGGTTGCAGCCACAAGGTGCGGAGAAGTTTCATGTCTTTCTTTCAAGGCATGAGAACGAAATACTACGTTCTTTCAAGTTTCAACCTGAGTTTTAAACTTGATCTGTTAAAATAAGCACAACTCCTCTTTTTTTTTCCATTTTTTTTTCAGTGTAAGTGTGCTATTTGTCTCCTCAGGAGATACGGTATCTGTGATTGCAGCCCAGAGGCAGCGTGGAGCGAGCAGCCTGTGCCAAGCGCGGCCGTGCCCGGACGCCCCTTACCGTGTAGCGCGCCGAACCCTATATTTTTGTAATGAAATTGTGTGATCGAGAGAATGAGTGTGTGAATGTCACGAGTGGGGCGGTCGGAGGGCACCGGCCCGGCTTGGGACCGCGCTGCTCAGAGGGTAGGGCAAGGCTTGATGTTTTTATTGTGTTCTTTTTTTTTCTCTGATTTTCTTTTGTACTCACGCCTGCAGCTGCAACCATGTCAATAAACAATTGTGCATAGCCAAGATGTTTTCATTGAGTACACCCTCACTCCTTGGGAGAAGCTGACAAACTTGAGACCAACCAATCGAACTTTCGCTTAGAAGAGAACTAGTCTCAGATCAAGAGCAAAACCAAAACTAAATAATTAAATAAGTAAATAGAAATCAAAACACAAACATTAAAAAAATTAAGATTTTAAAATCTTAAAAGATAAGCACATGGTGCAGGGGCCACCGGCCACCGTCATTGGGCGTTCGTGCTGGCCGCGTCCTTCCCGTCAAGGGTCCTCCGCCTCTCAGTGGAGCCCGCTACGTGGTTTGTGCACGGCCGGCCCGGGCCGCTAATCCATCATGGCACACGACGCTGCGTGGCTGTTAGTGCTGCTAGTCGCTGCGAGGCAACAATTGAATAACTCGCGAACGGCTGACGCGTTATGCCATCGCCAACACGTCCGTTCGCCAGCCTTGGCGCGTCTCTGCGTCTCTGTCGCACCGTGTGACTGCGAATCACTGCGATTCACTCCCATCGGCCGGGTGATGCACTGCATCGCCTCGCCGAGGCTGCGAGGCGCCGCAGCGGCCAAAGCGACCCTTTTTGATGAAAAACTCAGAGACTCAGTGAAGGCAACAACGCCCGGGGAAGTCCGTAGTGGTCTGCGTCCTGGGCCGTGCAGACAGGGACCCCGTAGAGCACGAATTGGTCACACGCAAAGAAGCCAGTCGCGTCAAGCGCTGAACCACGTACTTGCAGTGCACCTCTTGCCGGCCACTGCGCCGAGTACCACGACACAGGCGCCACTTGGTACTGCCACTTGGCGCAACGCCTGTTCGCTGTTCCAGTCCGCCGCCCTGGCGGGGCTGGCGGGGCTGTCAGACAGGACAGGCGGGATGATCCTCGGATGATCCCCAGGTCATGCTCGTTCTCTCGCCAGGCTGCGTCCGCACCGTGGTCGGCACGGTCCGCACCGCGGCACAGGGAAGTCCCAGCTGGTCCCCGCCTGGTGGGGCGGCGGCGGGGCGGCGGGGCCGAGGCGCCTGCCTCTGGAGTCTGGAGGCCCTGGAGGGGGGAAGGGCCCCGCGCCCCAGAGCCCCGCGGGCAGAGACGCGCTAGGCGAGGGACCTGAGCGCCTCAGTCAGTCCGACGCTCGCGCCAGCTGCCCTGCCCGCCCTGGAGAAGGCCCTGGAGTGCCGCGGCGCGTGCGTGCGAGTGCGTCCCCTTCGTCATGGCGGCCGCGCCCGAGTGAGCAGCAGCGGGAACTACATGGCGGCGTCCGCGATGAGCGCCTGCAGCACCCTGGCGGCGGTCCTCGTGGTGGCGGTGGCCGCGGCCGCGGCCGCGCCGAGCCCCGGGCCGAGGACCGACAGGACCGACCTGGAGGCGCCCGCCGGCGACTACGGCAAGGTGAGCCAGCGCCGCCCGCTCGGGCACGCGGAGACCCCCGAAATGGTCTTCATTTCCCCCGGGTCCTCCGCGTCGGCCGGGCCGGCGCGGGGAGAGAGGAGCGCGGAGGCGCCTCTGTCTGCGCGCACGCACGCACGCCGCCGTGACTGCGCGACTGCGCACGCCGCGCACGCGGTTGTCACGCCACACGCGCGTGACGGTGGCGTGACGGCGGCGTGACGGTGACGTCGCGTCGCGCCGATTGAGTTTTTAATTTGCGTCGGAACCAGCCGCGCCGCGCCACGCCCCCTCCAGACAAGTGGCTGGCGTGCTTTTCGTCCAGGGCATTCCTGCGGTGTGCCTTGAAAAGCGCGCCTGCAGACTGATTCCGAGAGTCGCGCTGTCTCTCTCGCTCTCGTGGGCCGTCCCGTGTAGGTGCGAGAGTGCGGGGCAACCGAAACGACCCTCGGAATCAGTCTGCTGCACGGCCCGACTGCCCGGCAGTTGCAGCCACTCGCCAGGGGACGTGACCGGGCCGCTCCGTCGCCCTGTCTCTCTCGCACCCCAATGGACCGCCGCATGGGAGAGAGAGAGAGAGACAGAGCGAGAAAAGTGCTGTTAGGAAGCGGCCCCCTGTGCCTGCTTCGGGCCGTCGGGTGCGCGCTGAATTTCTCATCTCATTGAAACCGCGGCGATCCAATCTACGGCACGCCACAAGGATGGGGCCAACAGGGGCAGCCAGGGCAGCAAGGGCGCGCCCTTGGCTGCGACGTGCCGGGATGGGCAGCGAAAAAAATAAAAATAAGTACCTGGTGCACCAGGGCGTCTGCATCAGCGCACCTACTAAAAACTAGCTGACACCTTTAAGTTGTTTTGTATTGTTCTAGTTTAAAGTAGTAAAGGTATCATCTGCTAAAATGAATAGAAGTAGTTTTGGGTTCCCGAAAAACATTAGTAGAAGGCCGAGGTGTCCTCACACCCCACAACAGCTCGCTGCTCCCGGACCTGACTCGCTCTGTCTCTCTCGCACTCATACGGAACGGCCGGTGAGTGCGAGAGAGACAGAGCGACGAAAACGCCTCTCGGAATGGGTGTCCAGGTGGCGCTCCTGGGCGTGCAACGCGTCGCTTTTTGTTTTCCGCGGCCCGTCAAACTAATTGGCGGCCGGCGCGTTTAGTCACCGGTTTTATTGGCCGGCCGAACCATTCCCTGTCTCTGTCGCACGCAAGGGCCGGTCGCGCACAGTGGGCCAGAAGCCGGTGGAGGCAGCCCAAACTCTAGACGCGTTTTGAGCTCCAGAGTCGCTAAATGGGACTCGAACCGAACGTGTGACCCCACCAATGGACAGCTCTCCGAACGAAGAATCCATTGGTGGGGTCACACGTTCGGTTCGAGTCCCATTTAGCGACTCTGGAGCTCAAAACGCGTCTAGAGTTTTGGCCGCCTCCACCGGTCTTCTGGCCCACTGTGTCGCGGCGGCCCGGTGCGGAGCGAGAGAGACAGAGCGACGCGACGATCGCTCTGAACGAGGCGGCAGACACGCCACGGCCGGCATGGCCCATCCTCCAGGCGTCTCCAGCCCAGCGTCCAGCTCCAGGCTCGCTAATGGAAGGCGGAGACGGGCGCAACCCGCGATAGTTGTGAAACGCGCCGTAAACACAACACATGCCCGGCCGGCCTGCGCTGACGAAATTTACTCGCTATCGCGGCATTGTGGCTATAGCGACCTCGCTTCCGCTATCAGGTGTCTCGAGGTTCGAATACCGACGTCAATTTTTTTTTCAGTGTGGTGTGGGTGGGGACTGTTGTTGTGATGTCCCCGCAGGGTGTTATGTCGGGAAGGTGCTAAGAGCAGGGGCTACTTTGTCACATAAGATAAGGTGGCTGATTTTTCCCTTTCGCGCCTCTGTGTCTGTGTGAGTGTCTGTGTGAGTGTGAGTGTGCGATCGTGCCTTCGGCATTAGGACACCGCGGCAGGCAGTGAAAGGCTCATCCTGGCCGCCGCGCCTGCCTGCCTGCAGACTGATTCCGAGAGTCGTTTTCGTCACTCTGTCTCTCTCACAGCTCATGGAGCGTCCCGTAGTATAGGCGCGAGAGACACGCCGCGACGAAACGTACTCTCGGAATCAGTCCGCTGGGCTGCCTGCGCAGCAGAGCAGTGTCCATCGCCGTCGCTCCTCCTGGCGCAGCAGGCCGCAGCAAAGATTGAACCGTTCGGACAATCCGAGACACGGGTTCAACTCTTACAATAGTGGCTGATTTTTCAACAACGTCCGCGGACTTCACTTGGCGCTAGCGAGAGCCTCGGACAGTCCGACTCGGCGCCGGCGCCGGGAGTCGAACCGCGGACTGGCCGCTGATTAGTGCAGTTGGAGGAGGCCGGCCGGTGAATGCGTTCGTAACGAGGGTCGAGCGGGACGGCCCGGACGGCCCGGACGGCCCAGAAGGAAGACAATCCCCGGGGAGGCACCAGAGATTGGCGAGTCAATCAGCACGCCCTTGTTGGCCTCGGCGCCGACGGGCTAGGGGCGCCGACGGCGGCGTCTGGCCTGCCGAGGAAAGCAGCGTGGCGCCATCGCCATTCTCCAGGTGGTCCTGGAGATTCTGCAGGAGGTCCTGGAGGTTCTCCAAGAGGTCCTGGCAGTTCTCCAAAAGGTCCTGGAGGCTGTGCAAGAGGTCCTGGAGGTTCTCCAAAGGTCCTAAGGAGTTTCTACAAGAGGTCCTGGAGATTCTACAAGAGGTCCTGGCGGCCTGGAGGCTCTCCAGCGCGTCGTCCCGAGGCCGACGCCAGGCCCAGCGGGGCTCCGGGTCACTGGACCAGCCCGCAAACAAGCGCAAACAAGGCGGCGGCGGCGTGGCGCGGCCAGGCCAGGCAGGCGAGGGGTCGCCGCGCCGCGCCGCCGGCCCGCCACATGGAGGATGGAGCGTCGCGACGCCGCAGCAGACAGGTGTCGACACAGGGGAAGCAGCGGGCCGTGGCGCACAGCCGCGTAGCGCCGCGTAGCGCATGGCCAGGCGCCGTGAACCGGAGGGGCAGGGCCGGCAGGGGGCGTCGCGGCGCACGCGTTCCAAACTGTTTTCACCGCCGGCCGGCAGCGCGACGCAAGGCGAAGCAGGTGAAGCTGCACCCCATTCTAGTCATTAGACGCGTGACGGAACGCAAAGCAAACACGTTCTTCAATTATCCGAGGTGACGTCGGGATAAAGGTTAAGCGCGTGGTGGCCGTCGGTGCCCCGCCGGTGCCCGGGGTCAGACTGGCAGAGACTGGCAGACAGGGGCGAGGCGAGGCCAGTCCGACGCGGTGCTGGTCTTCCGCGCCAGCAAGTCAAGCCACTGGGAGTGGGCCAGCCTCCGCCCCGCCGCGCCCCGCCAGGGATTGCCAACTTGGCGCGCATCGGGAGGGCCTCCACTCGGCAGGCGGCAGGGCAGCGCCGGCAGGGCACGGCCGCGCGGGGCTACGCGGGGCTACGGGTCAGCCAATCTGTCCGAGGGAATGCGCGATGCGCGGCCTGCAGTTCAGGCTGATTCCGAACGGGGCTCTCGTCGCTCCGTCTCTCTCGCACCTCCACGGCACGCCGCGCGCCCCGAAGGGTACCGAAGGGTACCGAAGGGGCGCGAGAGAGACGGAGCGACTAAACCAGTGTTCGGAATCAGCCTGGCGGTCTCCAGCGGGGAATATTATTGAGATAGCGGACGCTTGCAGCGACGCTGCGACGCTGCGCCGCCAGAATGCCGCGGCCGAGCGAGCGCTCTGTCTCTCTCGCACCCCTGCGGCACGGCCCATGGGTGCGAGAGAGACAGAGCGACGAAGCGGTCAGTGTGAGTCGGTACTAAATTGGCCGCATCTCATTCTCTCTCTGTTTCGTTTTGCAGCGAATCGCGCCGCTGTCCGCCGCGGTCCAGGTACGCGTATAACGCACGCCACGCACAGTGGGCCAGAAGACCGGTGGAGGCGGCCAAAACTCTAGCCGCGTTTTGAGCTCCAGAGTCGCTCAATGGGCCTCGAACCGAACGTGTGACCCCACCAATGAATTCCCCGTCCGGAGAGCAATCCATTGGTGGGGTCACACGTTCGGTTCGAGTCCTGTTTAGCGACTTAGGAGCTCAAAACGCGTCTGGAGTTTTGGCCGCCTCCACCGGTCTTCTGGCCCACTGTGCCACGGCACGGCACGCGCTGCAGCGACTCGAATTTCGCTCAGCCAGCCAATAAACGGACGCAATGTTGATACGGCACTCACCTGGTTTTATTGTCGGTCGTAGCAGTGCACTGTGTAGGACTCTCTGTACAGCAAAAATGTTCACAACCACCTGCCCGGTCGTGTGGTCAGGCTCTTGCACGTGTTATGCATGCACATTGTGTACACCGTTTTGTGTGAGTGAGAGAGGGAGAGTGAGAGTGTAAGTACTTGTGTGTGTGTGTGCGGGTGATCCGAATGTGCGAGGGTCCTGCGCGCATTAATTGCAGTTTCCAAGTGGAACGCCGCACCACACCCCCGCGTCCAGCACACTGCACACAGCACCACACAGTGTGCACTCACACCACCCGGCAGCCAGCCAGCCGGCCAGCCGGCGGCCACCCCGACATATCCGTGTTCCCACGACCGAGCAGTGCAGCAGCAGCGCTCTGGCCCGCCTGGCCAGGCCGCTCCGCTCACCTCAGTTGGCACGAGAAGCCGGCGCCATGGCGGGGCATTTGGAAAAGTGACTCCGTCGCTCTGTCTCTCTCGCACTCACGGGGCGTGCCGCAGGTGCGAGAGAGACAGAGCGACCGGCTTCCGTCCAAAAAGCATCGGTACCGCGGCGCCGCGTTGCGTGCATGCCGCGCCGACAAATACTCCTCGCGACATTCCCTGCCGCCGCTGCAAGGCATTCCGCGCTGGGAGTTCTCAGTTCTCCGTGAGGGACTGCTGCAGCCGCGGACATAAATCTCCCGGAGAAGGCCGTGATGGTGGACGGCCGGCGTGACGGAGGAGGGAAAGGCGACGCGGACAAATATGACGCGGGGGCCGTACCCAAACTA